CACCTGGGGCAGCCAAAGAGCGCAGTGCTGGAGTGCAAGGAGCAGAGCCCACGATGTGAGGCAGCATCTGCAGCACGCCCCAAGGTCCCACAGGCTCAGGCGCCCCTCCTTTGAAACCGCTCTGCCTCTGGGGCCTGTGCAGTCTGGGCCTGTGATGGAAGGCAGCCATGCTGGTTTCTGAATTGTCTTCCAGGTTATTCTTCCATTGTCTTCAAGAATTGCTCCTGCTTCTGTTTAAATGGAGGACTAAACTTATAAAGAGTGTTTTGTCCACACTCTTAATGTTCTTTTCTGACCATGTTTTCTCATTTTTTTAAGTATGGATGGACCGAGAGTTCTACAAATCTTTAAGTCTACTTCCTTTTTGATTAACAATGTTCTCAAGTCATTTCTCTCTTCTAGCATTTCACTATAAAGAGTCAGGAGGAGCCAAGCCCACTCCTTCAGCACTTTGCTTAGAAATAGCTAAATACGCAATTTCATCACTCTCAAGTTCTATTGTAGAACTAGAAGATGAATACAGTTCAGCCAAGTTCTTTGCCACTTTATAGCAAGGCTCACCTTTCCCCCATTGTCCAGTCACGTGTTCCTCACTTCCACCCGAGACCTCATCAGAATGGCCTTTACCCTCCCTATTTCTACCAACATTCTGTTCAAGATTACTTAGGTATTCTGTAAGAAGATTGAGACTGTCTCTACAGTACTCCTATTTCCTTTCTGAGTTCTCACCAGAATCACTCTTATCAGTCCATTGATGGCAAGAGCTTTTTTCTGCATGCACCTCAAAATTCATCCACCTTCTACCCATCATCCAGTTCCAAAGCTACTTCCACATTTTTAGGTGTTTGTTACAACAGCACCCCACTCCCAGAACCAATTTTTATCTTAGTCTGTTAGGACTACTATAACAGAATACCATAGGCCAAGTTGTTTATAAACAACAGAAATTCATTTCTCACAGTTCTGGAGGCTGAGAAGTCTAAGATCAAGGTGTCAGCAGGTTCAGTGTCTGCTTGGGGCGCTGTTTCTGGTTCATAGGCAGCTGTCTTTTCACAGTGTCCTCACATGGCAGAAGGGCAAGGGGCTCTCTGGGGCCTCCTTTATAAAGGCACTAATCTCATTCATTAGGGCTCCACCCTCATGACCTAATCACCTCCCAAAGACCCCCACCTGCAAATACCATCATATTAGGGATTAGGTATCAACATGAAATTTGGGGGAACACAAACATTCAGTCTATAGGACCATATAAAGTGATATTACAGGTTCTGGGGATTAGGGCACAAACATATCTTTTGGGGGACTGCTACTCAGCCCACTACAACTGCTTTTACCCAATTCTAAGAGTATAGTGTAAGAAATCAGGAGAATTGTTTGCTATGGAATGTCCATTTCCAATTCAATTATCTGCTGGTTCGCAGTGTCTTTCCTAATTTGCCCATTATAAAAACAGCTTTGGTTAGTTTGACCCTTAGTATCAATTAGCATTCTCAGAGTCCTTTTAACTACAGCTGTAGTTTACATCTAAAAATAGCTTTTGTGTTACTGATATTTTTTGGGCCATGAACTATTGAGATCTCTCCTGTCTAGCTGTCAAAGTAAATTAGTCAATAGGATTTAAAAGATGGTCCACTTTGAAGAATAAAATAACCTCCCAGGATTAGATTCTAATTTTAATTCAATTACATGTTGGAAAAGAAAAGATTTGGTTCAGTTTAATTCCTGTTATAAAATTGGGTGAGTTGTCACCTAAACTTAAACATCGTACATTAACTCGACATTACTATATCCTTTTGTATAGGAAGGAGGAAATAGAGAGCAAAAGGACAGTCCATTATTCTTTAAGGAACATATTAATTCCTTTAGGTGAAATAGGTCACTTTACAGGTAGGTTGTAAAGAACTACTCATGCCTTATCTAGCAGAATTTATAGTGAACCCAATAGTCTGCTAACATCTATTGATTTGATTTGGGACTTAGTTTGCTGAGTACATTATTTCTGGACTATATTTTGAAACATAAACTTCTGGATGGCATAGATTATTGATAAAAGTTCATAAAATTGATACATCCTGATTTAGATTTGGGAAAGTGAAGAAATGATTATTCATAAAGTATTTAAAGGAACATTCTGGTATTCTATACAACTGAATGAGAAAGGGCCTTGACTGTAACACTAGCGTTTAGCCATTGACCATCGCCAGTAGTTTCATTATTTCTTTGTCCTGCATCACCTTTTCCAAAGATTGATCAACCCATATTGATCTCTAGATGGTAAGTCAAAGTTCTTGGGCTTCAGCATATCTCACCACATAAGTTTTTGAAAAACACTTGAAATAGCCAAATGTCTTCAGTAGTCATCAAGTCACCCTTTTGTTAACAACAATGATATATTATAGTCTATATTCTCAAAAACATTATAGAAAAGACAGAGGTAAATAAATTGGAATAATGATGAATTTCTAAAAACTTTGAAAGACAGTTAGGGTTTAGAATTCCAAAGAACAAGTATTTGAATTCTGGTAAACAAGACAGGCAAGGCTATGTGCAAGAATGGAAATTTGGAAATTCACCATAGAAATAAAACCGAAGGAGTACATTTGTAGGCAGGCAGAGAAGCCTCTAAGTTGGTATGTTAAAGTAGAATCAGAAACAATGCGCCTAATAGAAAGATACTAGTCATGGTACCAATATGATCACTTCCTGGACATTATGCTTTGGAAAACTCACCTTGCGCTTCTGATCCTTTATGCCCTCATCCATAAATGTGATTAAAAGTACCACCTCCTCTTAGTTCTCAGGATTATGGTAATTAACTGAATCTTTAGAAAAAAAATTCAAAGCTTGAAGGCACTGTCTGTTTTTTCATGCACCCCGTTTTAAGCAAAACGCATCATAAAACGTGGCATATATGTGAATTGCTAAGAAACCAAATTAGCTGGTCCCACAGCCTAGCCTCTAGCTATAATAGTTATCACTGCTTTTGTGGGGGAGAATAAACTTTATGCCTACCTGGACTTCAGGAAGCAGACTCCAGAATAGTTGCTTTCCCAAATGAAAGGAACTTTCCCATTTTCTTAAGGTTGTTGGTCTTCCACTGACTTTATAGTCAAACACAAATTTTAAAACAGTATCTTTCATTTTTAAAGCTAAAGACCAATATATGCATTGTATGAATGTATCTGCATAAATGTGTATAAAAATGTGCTATGAGAGGGTAAAAGATGTAGAGAAAGGGATGTTAAATAGATTAATATAGTTGTAGCTATCAAGCAGAGGAATCCTAGATTATTGGCCAAGTTGTTGAAAAAAGCCTCAGATATAGGTTAGTCTTTCTGGAATAAAATAGACCAGTCAGGTTAAGACGCCTTCAAAACTTTGTAGAAATGTTGTGCAGAAATGCTGGTGATCATTTAGAATTTGGACTTTCGAGATCTTCTGTTAAGCCCCTGTGCTGGCCTCTATAAACCATGGGGATAATTAAGCAGAGACTGCAGTGTCACAGCCAAATGCTCGGGACAGCCTCAGGCTTTCCTCTGAGGGCAGCTCTCTGCCAGAGGAAACTGGCAGAAAATATGTTTCCTCAAAATATAGAAAGGGTTCCACATTTCCATAGGCTGGTTGCTTGTCGTAGGATGGAGCTGCCATCTTGAATTACCCGGCTTAAAAAAGGCACAGAGGCTCCCATGGCTCCTGTGGCACCAAGGGGATGGGAGCCTCTCCTTGCTGCTGTGATCCCAGATCTAGGAGACCCATTTAGGGGAACTCTTCATTCCTAGCACAAGTTAACACTTTAATTCCAGGGGCCAGCCCGGTGGTGCAACAGTAAGTTCACACCTTCCCCTTCTCGGTGGCCCGGGTTTCACTGGTTTGGATCCTGGGTGCAGACATGGCACTCCTTGGCAAAAGCCATGCAGTGGTAGGCGTCCCACAGATAAAGCAGAGGAAGATGGGCACAGATATTAGCTCAGGGCCAGTCCTCCTCGGCAAAAACAGGAGGATTGGCAGCAGATGTTAGCTCAGGGCTTATCTTCCTGAAAAAAAGAAAAACAAAAACAAAACTTTAATTCCACCTTACCCATTTCTCGGATTTTATCCATGACTTTCTAATTCCTTTATTAGTCTTCATTCTGGTCCCCACTCCTGGTTTCTCACTGACTTGGCAACTAGACACAGACTCTCTTCATCCTCTCAGACAGACCTCATTTGACCTGGTGGCTGCATTGTTGCCATTCAGCACTTCAGGATAGGTGGCCTGGATGCAAGGCAGGAGACTGGTTATTTAATTGAAAAAGTTGACTTTTTCTTAGCTATAATTATTCTAGGCAAAGGAATGCTTGGCCCAAACAAAATAAACTCTAAGTGCCAGCTTCTATATACTCAGCACCAGATTTAGGTTAAACTAAAGGTATTTGATGTATTAGGGAGATTCAGCATCTAATCTCTCACCCAGACCTGGTTAGGAAGTTGAATTCTAAATCAGAAGATACCTAAAATACTTTTTGTTTTTTTTTCACAACCCAGTCTGTGTCATTGCAGGACATGTGTATTATTGATAGCATTTCTAATAATTGTCTTTTAAAGTTGCTATTTATTTCCATTACCATGGATATTTTACTTAATTGAATTTTACAACAAATTATTTAAATGAGTATAGAGAATTATTTTAGTGACAGCTCATGAATGCCAATAAATTTTCTTCTCATAATGGTAGATATCTACTGTTATTTCTTAAAAAAAAAAAAAACCTAATTCTTCATTTTATACCTTTCACTTTTATTCTTAGGCACACATTTGGTCATTTGTTCATACCTTAATAGTTCTATCAGTGGATTGACAAAGAAACATGTATATATATGTGTGCACACACACACGTATATATTTAATTTTACTAATTGTTAAAACATGGTCACAATTTTCTGGATGAGTTAAAGCTAGTGACTTCACTGAGACTTGTGGAACTCGATCACACATGTAACCCTTATTTTCTGTTCCTCTAGAGAATCCAGATTCTGCTCTAGCTCTCTGCCTTTGTGTTGCCTTCAAATATCCCACTTCAAGGAATCGTGCCTAGTTCAGCAATTCCACGTGTAATCCAAAGAAGTCTGTTCAAGTGGGCATCTATCAACAGGTAAAATGATACTTTTAATTCTGGTTTTTTCTCCATTATGCCCATAAATAAAAGAAACAAGACACAACAGCCGTAAGTTGTATACAATGTTACAGAATTGTGCAGAGGAAAATAACATGAGGCCAACGAATGTGTATGAATCGGATCTTGACTTCTCAAGAGTTGTTAATATGAATAGATGACAGTCTTGAAAGTGGACATTGTCAAGAGTTAATGCTTCTGGGTCCACTTTGCAATGATTTAATTAAGAGATCAAAGGATGTTGGTTTATATGGAAGAAACAAAATAGGTAGGAGATAAAGAAGTGAAGAGGTATATGAGTGGGTGACTCGCCACCTGGAATATACAGTTATAAGTTAAAATCAAGTAAATGTGTTGGAAACAGAGAACAAAAGATTATATACTGAGATAAACTGGTGAACTATGAAAAAAATAACTAGACAGAAAAGAAAGAAGATTAAGGAGAAAAAATAGCTCAATTATATTATTTTTAAAGGCAAGGAACCTTTTGAAATGAATGGATAGCATCTGAGAAAATAACTTTTATAACAAAGCAGGGATAATTCAAATAGCAATTCAAAGGACAAGCATGCAGTTTCAGACAATATATATTAGAAAAACATTAGTGTAATACAGAGTTGGAATCGTGTTCTAGATGATCTTCCTTAAGGACAGAATCTAGAGCAATGGGCAGTAGTTGATTATCTGTGGAAGGCTGATGTGCAGATCACAAATTGCCATCCAGAATTGTTAAAGAACTTTCATTAGCTAAAAGCTGTCTATGAGGACATAAATGTCTGGTTATGGATGTGTGTGTATGTGTATGTATGTGTGTTGGAGACAGAAAAATGGGAGGAGTTGAAGGAAAGGGGTGTTAGCATGTGTCACTATTATATGTTTTTACTCCTTTCAGTTTTTCGGATGCTTCCATTTTTTGAGTCCTTTTCTGGATTTGAATGGTGGAGTCATCATTTGCTTGTAGATACCTTAGTCAGGTTACGTTCGGCAAGCATTAGCTTCCTTTGCTTTTCATTTCGGACGCACTTGTGTGGCGCTTGCAGTCCAAGGTCAGCCTCTTCCCAGGCACTGATGCCATAATTGCCACGAGCATTAGCCGTCTTATTCCTGTCCTTGTCTAGAAGATGCTGGTAAAATGTCTGCCTGAAACAAATGTGTATGGGACTAAGTTTTGTTTGTATTGATGTATTTATATATATATTTATTTACTTTATTTATTTCATGACAAGACAGATTATAACACATTGTTATTTGGTAGTGAATAAATTCATTATTAAAACCGAAACTTTTATGATTACAGAGATAAAATGACAGAAGCACAAGGGGTGCTTGTTCCAAGCACAAATATTCACAGCTATTTATTCACTGACTCTAACTTATTTAATAAACATATTGAATACCCTACTATATACCAATAAGTATACTGACACCTGGAGATACAATAATTGACTTCTTGTATCTTAGACTCTATTGGGAAAGACATATTGAATGAATCATGAGAAATGTTATTTGGGGGCTGGCCCGGTGGCGTAGTGGTTATTTGGTAATATTTTATTCTGGTTTACGCTTTTACATTATCCATATTTTGTAAAAACCGGAATATGCCGCTTCTCTACTCAAGAGAAAAAGAACTGCTAACAGAGACAACTAATGAAAAAGCACAATGAGAAAAAAAGCAGTATTCACAATTATATTTATATGGTCTATAGATCACGATATTATTTAAATTAATCAGAAATATATGAATAAAGAAAAATAATCAAAAGAAATATGCAAAATTATTAATAATGATTGTGTTAGGATAGTGTGATTATGTGTGATTTTTTTCTTTTCTTGATTTTCTTGGTTTTCTAATATTCTGTTACGGAAGTCAGCAGACTATAGCCCTTGGGCTAGTTTTGAATAGAATTTTATTGGAACAATCCATGCCCATTTTTTTAGTATTGTCCGTGGCTACTTTTGCACTAACACTATTGAGATGAGTAGTTGTGAGAGAGACCATACAGCCTGCAAAGCCTAAAATATTTGTTAACTAGCCCATGACAGGAAAATTTTCTGATCCTTGTTTTATAGTATAACTATATCAATGTTATAAAGTAAAAAACAAAACAAAATAAAATGTAATTATTGATCTAATTCAAAAATTGCAGAATAGAACTAGCTCCACAATCATCCAAAAGGAGAAATAGCAGAAGGCAATAGAAAAAGCCAATAGATAGGTCAAAAGCCTATGCAAGAATCCTTCCATTCCTGGGTTCAGCATTAAATAGGAAGGGAAATCCAGAACGATAAGTATCAGTTAATGAGATCAGGACTAACAAATGGTGATTAAGTATTCGAAGTCCTAGTCAGAGAAATTAGGCAAGAAAAAAAAATCAAGGCCATCCAAATTGGAATAGATGAAGTAACATGACTTTATGCTATAGAAAACCATAAAGACTCCACCAAAAAACTGTTAGAACTAATTAACAAATTCAGTGGAGTCCCAGGATAAAAAATCAATATGCAAAAATCAGTTGTGTTTCTATACACTAACAACAAATTGTTGGAAAGAGAAATTAAGAAAACAATACCATTGACGACAGCATCAAAAAGAATAAAATACTTGGGAATAAATTTAACCAAGGAGGTGAAACATCTAAACACTGAAAACTATAAAACATTGATGAAAGAAATTGGAGAAGACACAAGTACATGGAAAGATACTCTATGTTCAGGGCTTGGAAGAATTAATATTGTTAAAATGTCCGTACTACCCAAAGCAATCTACAGATTCAGTGCAATCCTTACCAAATTCCAATGACACTTTCTGCAGAAATGGAAAAATCAATCCTAAAATCCATATGGAGCCACAAAAGACCCCGAATAGCTAAAGCAATCTTGAGGAAGAACAAAATTGGAGGCATCACACTTCCTGACTTCTAACTCTATTATCAGGCTATGCTAATCCAAATAGTATATTAGCATAAAAACAGACACAGACATGTAAATCAGTGGAACAGACTAGAAAGCCCAGAAATAAATCCATGCATGTGTGGTCAATTAATTTTGACAAAGATCCCAAGAATATGCAATGGAGAAAGGATAGTCTCTTAAATAAATGGTGCTGGGGAAACTGGACAGTCATGTGCAAAAGAATGAAATTGGACCCCTGTCTTACACTGTACACAAAAATCAACTCAAAATGGATTAAAGACTTGAACATAAGACCTGAAACCATAAAACTCCTAGAAGAGCACATAGGGGCTAAACAACATTGGTCTTGGTCATGATTTTTTGGATTTGATGTCAAAAAGCAAAGGCAACAAAAGCAAAAATAAGCAAGTGGGACTACATCAAACTAAAAAGTTTCAGCGCAGTAAAGGAAACCGGTTATCAACAAAGTGAAAAGGCAACCCAAAAAATGGGAGAAAATATTTACAAACCATGTATCCAATAAGAGGTTAATATCCAAAATATATGAGTAACTCATACAACTCAATACATGCATACAATGAAATATTATTTAGCTTTAAAAAAGAAGGAAATCCTGCCATTTGGGACAAGATGGATGAGACTGGAGCTAAGTGAAATAAGCCGGACAGAGAAAGACAAATACTGTGTGGTCACACTTATATGTGGAATCTAAGAAGAAAAAAGTGAAACTCATAGAAACAGAGTAAAATGGTGGTTGCCAGGGGCTGAGGGGTGGGGGCAATAGGGAGAGGTTGGTAAAAAGGTACAAATGTTTAGTTATAAGATGAATAAGTTCTCAGGATCTAGTATATAATAGGGTGATTATAGTTGATAATACCATATTGTATAGTTGAAATTTGCTAAGAGAGTAGAACTTAAGTGTTCACACCAAAAAAAAGACATGTATATGAGGTGATGGATATGTTAATTAGCTCGATTGTGGGAATCCTTTCATAGACTATACATATATCAAATCGTGTTGCACACTTTAAATGTATTATAATTTATTTGTCAGTTATACTTCAATAAAGCTGAAAAAAAAAGTGAAAAAAATGATTAAGTGGTGATTAACATTGAATGTGTCTGAGAACTTCCTTAGAGATACGTCTGACTCACATAATGTAAAATGAATATTTTAATCTTAAGTCCTGTTATCTGTTCATTGCAGGTTATACTGATTTTCCTCCATCCATGAATTACTGTAAAATATATTAAAGTCTTAAGTATATTTGCCAAAACATTGAAAAAGAGTTAAGGTAATAATTGTTACTTTCACTCTACTGCTCATCATCGTCATTGTATTTATTCCAGGGAAACAGTGGTCTCCCTATTTGTTTCATTTTTATCATTTTTCCTATATGAGTTTCTGAAAGCAAAGTCCTTGAGTATAATTATGGACAAATTAGAAAACTTTAATATAGAGAATATTTTCACTGAAAACCTAAAAGGTGCATATAGAAGGTCACTGGAAATATCTTGCATATAAGTTGACATTAAACAAAAATTAAACCACTGTGTCTGTTTTCATAGACATGTGTTTAGTTTTTTGGCAGGTTTTCTGAAGATGTGGCAAAATTAGTTTTTATTAACTTATTTCCAACATTTTCTTACCAACAGAAAAGTGTTTCTTTTCCCTCTACATTTCAATTGAGAAATCCACAAATGGAATGAGAGTAGTGAAAAGAAAATATTGAGAAATCCTGGCAATCACAGCTGAAAGCTAAGCAAGCAGCAGCATTCTACAAAGAAACATTGATGTCAGGGAACCAAGATGTTTTTAATTTAATTTCAGTTGTGTTAAGCCTTATGTGATCATTTCTTCCACAGGAGAATTGGTGCTTTATACCATAAAGCTAGCCATTCCTAGTCATGTCCAAAAAGAAAGTCCCTTTATTTTAATAAACAATAATATACATTTGATAGGGAGAATTTCATGGCTGCGAAAAATGCATACAATTTATCATTTATAAAATGATAGGTAGGACTAACTTTGGAAGTGCATTAAAATTAGCTTAATTCATTCAAACCATACAATTTCTAATCCTATAGGTTTAGAAAATAGATGCATGCTGAAATATTTTTAAGTATTCTTAATTATTAAAAGTGGAAAAATTCTAAAACATGCCTACTATTTAATTCTTTAAAAGTCATCAAATTTAATGCATGGTCCCTTTTAACCTTTGTATAGAAAATCTGAAACATTTTGTCTTAAAAAAGTATTCTGGGGGTTGGCCCAGTGGCGTAGTGGTTAAGTTTGCATACTCCACTTGAGCCGGCGGCCCAGAGTTCGCCGGTTAGGATTCGGATTCCAGGCACCAACCTATGCACTGCTTATCAAGCTATGTTGTGGCAGGAGACTCACATATAAAATAAAGGAAGATGGGCACAGGTGTTAGCTCAGGGCCAATCTTGCTCAAAAAAAAAAAGAAAGAAAAAGAAAGTACTCTGTTTTAAGTGATGACAACTCCATTTTCCTTATGCTTAGAAATCAGATTGAGATAGCTTTTGTTCTTTTGGTTGGTACCTCAATACACATCTGAATTCTTAACTTCTCTTTGAGTAATTTTTGTTTCCATAAACAAATTAAATGCTTCAATTTTTACCCCGTAGCAGTCAAAGTTACATACCTCGCCGCAATTATTTTGTAAATTTCCTGAGTACAAGAGTATTAAAAAATATTCATGAAAAATTATATAGTTGTAGTTAAAGCTGGAAAATATCATTCTGATGACTATCAACACTGATATATGGAAATAGAAATATGGTTTAAACTGTTATTTCATTTTTTGACCATAGGTTACTTGAATTTCAAATAGACGAGCAGGAATGCCACCACCAGCAGGTACCCCAACATACCCACCTCCGGATGGAGGCTGGGGATGGGTAGTGGTTGGAGCAGCTTTTATCTCCATCGGATTTTCATACGCCTTCCCCAAAGCCATCACAGTATTCTTCAAGGAAATTCAGCAAATATTCAACGCTAGCTACAGTGAAATAGCATGGATATCATCTATTATGCTGGCTGTTATGTACGCAGGAGGTAAGGTTCTTTGGAATAAATAGAATTCTGGATTAAGAAAACAATTGCTTCATGCCACAATGTTTTACATGTAGTGTCTTAGTAGAGTAAAGCCCTGTTTTCATATTTTAGTCACTTAAAACCAACTAAAAGTAGAATTAGAATTGAATTTTTAATGATTTTAGTGATTCAGCATCTTGAACTCTTCACCTCATTCTGAGCTTTACTGGAGTATTTATTTGAATGAGGATTTCTTTGCACAAAGTGAGGTTTGTAAATGATGGAATTTCCAAGGGAAGTGCCTTACCATTTAATTTGGAATAAAGTCTATACTATAGCGTTAGTATTATTTACTACTATTGCTACAGTTGGTAGAAATGCTTTTTTCTGAATGAGAAAGAATTCAGGTTGCGGACAGTCTTATAAGCTTAGAAAGTTCTTTACCTTAAGCTGAAAAAAGAGAGTGTTACCATTTACATTCTGGATCCATTCAGGTTTATATGATTGAAATAATTCCTTATCTTTGTAATACTCATTAAATATGATATTTTTTATTTAAATATTTGTGTGACAATTATCTTGTTATATTCCCTGTTCAAATGAGGGTGTAATTCATTAGGGATAATGAATAAATCAAAGTACCTTATCGCTTCTGAATGTGAAAATAATTGGAATTATTAGTGCATTATGATGTCACCTATCTTCTTTAAATCAATCTCAACATCAGACCAGACTGTCTTATAGATTTTTTTAAGTCATTACTTAAAATAGAGTTTTCGTTTTTCAACTGGATATTTGATTTTAAGAGACAGGTATAGACTCAGAATATAGGCTCTTAAAGAAATCATGCGAATCATCTAGTGTAATTTCTTACTTTTTGGATGAGGATAATATGGCTTATAGTGACGAAGTTATACCATTAGTAATAATATCCAATATTTATTAGTATTTACTCTCAGCTAAGACCTCTCTAAATGCTCACTATGTGTGATATGACCTAATCCTTTTAACAATCTGTGAAATAAGTTATCTTCTCTCTGTTCTGTAGCTGAGGAAGTGGAGAGGTGGAATAGTTTTCCTGAGTCAAACAGCTCATTAGTGGCAGATAGCAAGTGAGACCCCAAACATTTCATCACCGTGCTCTTCTGCCTTTCTCGTACCTCTTTACCTCGAGAAAGTGACTGAGTGAGATCCAGGCCAGGCGTTCTACAGACCTGATTCAGGTGCTACCCTCACCGAGGTCGTTTGTTTAATGACATAAGAATCATTTGTTAGGATATTGTCTCTGTATTGTACTACTAAGGTAAAAATTTGATCCTCCAATAATCTTGTCTGTGTGTTTTCCACTTTCTGTATGCCAGTGATTTTACGTTAATCCAGTATATGCCTCCCTTACCCTTTTGGTTAGGTTAAATGACTCATTTTTGTTCCAGTACTGAAAGGTGTCTTTAAAATGCTATTTGGGTATGTTAATGGAAAATTCTGCCTCTAAAACACTTTCTGACATTCTCCGTTGGACAGTTGCTTTAAGGCTTTTAACTGTGTTATTTCTGATGACTACAGAAACAGTAGATATTGTGCACCTGGTCTTGTTCCTCTATCCCGTGGGTCAGGAGTTCTTTAATAAAGCTTTGCTAGAGCAACACACAAAGTCATCTGTCCTGAGCTCCGAAATGTGCTAATGTTAACATATGTAGTTTTTCCCCTTCTTAAAGACACCTGAGACAGATTCCTCTAGTGAATTCGTATAAGTCTGTTGAATTTGGACTTCAGGTCCTAGATATTTATAATTTTCTGTTCAGTAGATAGTTGACTAACTCATAAGCAAGACAAAAATTTGTATAGCTTTTTAGTTAAATCAAGTCTTAATTGGCTTTACTAGTTTTAAGCAAACAACCTCAAAGTCTCAATGCCTTAAGGGAATACAAGTTTATTTCTTGCTCAAGCAATGTTTCATCTAGTGGCTATGCCATCACCTAGGGCTTTGTAGTGTCCCCTGAACTGTTCCATCCAGCTGGACAGAGAATGAATACAGAAGTGTGGAAGATCATGTGGGATATTTTAGAGGCCAGGCTGGAAGGGATTAACATTTCTGCACACATTCCACTGGTCAGGTATAGTGCCCTCCCTAGAGGCAAAGGCCAAGGTTTCTGGGAAATGCAGGCTTCCTAGAGGACGAAACGGAATAGGATAGCATCCCGTGAGTCTCAGACAGAGCATGGTACCCCAAAAATCGTTCTCCACCCACTGAAGGCAGGATGTGTTGGTAGACTTGCCATGGCCATTTGACAGCTTTCCACTCCCTGGCCACATCTAAAGAGAGGCTTAGAATGAAGAATGACACAATTACTTTTCTCAAACCTTTAAATCTCAGTATCAAATTATAACAAGTAAATATCTATAATGTATGTTTATCATTAAGAGTTTTCATTTTTTTATGCTCTTATTTTCCTATATTTAATACCTATAGTATAAATGATAAAAAGCACAAAAGAGAAGTCTTTTGAAGTTCATCAAGAAAATGGTAGTTTGGTAAAATAGTTACCAGTTTGGAAAATACTGTCTTAAAATGTTTAGGGTAATAGATAGCTAAAATATGTCTACATTAAATATCAACGGGATTTTGTATCTGGTTGATTTAAGAAAGGAATGCCAGACACATGGAAATACTTAGTGTGTGGTAATTGATGATGGTAAGATCGAGGTGAGATCCAAGTAAGCAGTTGGACTCTTATGTAGAGGCCTTAGTCATAGGACTGAGACATTTCGTATGTCATCTCTGGCATGGAGAAAAGTCAGGCACTGCAGAAATTCTGTACCCTTTGGTCTTTTCCCTTAAGAGTGGAAAGGCAATTCCAGGCCCACAGCCTACTGGATAGAAATGTTACTATTGGTCATGTCCACTGTTGAGTGGAGAATTCACACACTTACATGGTTCATTGGAAATTACATCCATGTCTTGTCTTGATAATTCGTTTTTAATCTTTTAACAAGAAATAATTGGCACACTTAAAACTGAAATCTCAATACGAAAACAATTCCCCTTATGTGGATACAGATGATTTTTTCGGAAACATAATAACTAGAACAAAAAGTCTGATAGAGTTAATTAATCTGAGACAGAGATATTGGTCCTGTTACTAAAGTGGCAGTGTTTTCAAGTATGCTCCACAGATTTTCTGCTTCTGAATAATGGATCTCTTGTTAAAAATGCATAGTCCTAGGTCTTACCCCAATCCCCCTTTTATCAGAATTTCTGTTGGTAGAGTCCGGAAACTTGCATTTCAACAAGCATCTCTGAAAACCACTTCATTTCATGTACAACATAGGGATTCACTATGATAGAAAAAAATCAATATTTGACTCAAAAATATTTAAATTTTCCCCGAATATTTGAAAGAGCTCTATCTATAGAGGCCTTTTAGATTGACGATTTAAAATAAATTCAAACACCGTAAAGCAAAAAGGCGTGTGGTTTGCTGTGAAGTATAATGAGTCTCTCTACCAAGTGGCTGAAATACTTTGTTCAACATAATGCTAATTACGTGAGCCTAGAGAGCATCTAAGATCTGACACATTCATTAGGGCTTAGCTCTCAACCCATTAATCACATGGTGGGGTCACTGGGTAAGATGGAGTGTGTTCAGAGGCCTGACCTGTCATGTCAGGGCTGAAGTCTCTTGTAGTAATTAGTTGGGCCTTGGTAGCAAGGTATTATCTTCCCTTCTGATGTCTGAATTAAAAATGAAACTAATAAAGGGTATGCAGTAAGGATGGAAAAGAATGCAAATTATGTTTATCCCTTACTTCATCCTTCCAATAATGGCATTAAATTACAGCAACCCATCTGGCCATCCATATGTTCTCCTGGAGCTCTAATGAATTTCAGCAAAGAGGTCAAGCAGAGTGGTTACCCCATTAATAAAGCACTAAGTAGAGGTAGAAAACATATGATCATTCCTACTTTTCACATTTCTTAGATGGATATAGGGATTTGTTTTGTAAGCAGTGATTATATAGGATTGTCTTTTAGTGCAGTGCCAGTCTTTGTTGCTCTATTGAAAGATAATGTGAACATGGTTAGCTACAGAGTTATCAAATACAGATTTGGGGCTGTCAGTCTCTGTGAGTACCTCATGCAATTTTTCTGGAAATATCTGTTATGACTTGGAAGAATCAGCCATTCTGGAGAGGAGAGTTGGCTTTGTCTCCATGGTAACTTACTCTTCTGTTCTATGTGAGCAGTGACTGCCAACTGTGCGTAAGTAAGGGTGATAGATTTATGATGGACTACTTTACACAGGGGACCAAGCATCAGACCACTGAGCTTATTTTACTAGAGGCCAAGAAGGGCAAGGTTCTAGGCATAGGAGGTTGGTGGCTGTAATATACAATGTGTATTTTCCTATTCTGTCTAAATAGGCTCACTATATTTTTGCTTTGTGCTCTAAATATTTTGCAGAATGAAGGAGACTGTTAGAAAGAGTCATATAGGGCTGTATCTTAGCAGCAATAATAAAAAAAAAGTTCATTCCATGCCTGTGTTTGAGATACCTAGAGCTTAGCTTTACAAAAACCAGAAAGTACCAGGTGTACTTGGAGAGTCCTGTGCAAGCAGGCTGCATACTTCTTATAGCCACTCCACGGTAGATTTTTTTTTTCCATTCAGGAACATAGATATTGGTAAAGTTTTCCTAGGAAATGTGGCACAGTGTGGCAGAAACCATTATGCTCACCGTATATCCATGTGCTCCTGTATATTTCCAGCTTCCTTACACTTAAGTTGAGGCTAAGTGACTCATTCGTACCAATGAAATATGAGTGGAAAGATGTATGTCATCTCTGCACACCAGGACAAGGCAGTTCCAGCTGGCGTGCACCTTCCATTTCCCTATTGCCCTCTACATCAACCTTATTTCCTATGGCCTGGCTGCAAGGGGACGATCCTTCGCCCACCTCATACTTTGAATGAGTAGGAAAGAAATTATTATTAAGCTTCTGTGGTTTGTTATACAGAACAA